ACATCCCCCCCCATACCTGCAGCTTCCAGAGGAAGTCGAGGCGCGCTGTGGACTCCACCTGCTGTGCATGGAGGTACAGGGCCAGGGCGAAGACCCCCAGCACCACGGGGGTGACGTAACGCAGAGCCACCTTCCCCTCCACCGGGCTGCGGGACCCCAGACCCACTGCTGAGTGCTGGGGGTGGGGGCGCAGCTCTGCCCCTCCCCGCTAATGGGGATGCGGCACTGGGGTCTGCGCCCACCTCGGGGGTCTCCAGGCTGCGCCCCCAAAGGTGCATCTGGAGCCCGGGGGCACAGCCAGACCCCAGCAACCCCAAAAAGATCCCCGCCAGAGCCCAAAGACCCCCTGACCCCAAAGACCCCCCCGACCCCAAAGATGCCCCCCGACCCCAAAGATGCCCCCAGAGCCCACTCCCCACTCACCATTCCCCCTGGGTGCCGTTGAAGGAGGGTCTGTAGGGAGAGCACAGGGGGGTCACCGAGAGGCAGAGACCCCATGGTGACCACAAGGGGGACCCTCCAGGGACACAGAGGGGACAGGGGGACACAGTAGGGACCAGAGGTGACATGGAGGAACGGGGGGGGTCACAGCGGGTGGTGGTCCTACGGTGAACACCTGATGACCCCAAGGGGGCACAGAGGGGACCCTATAGGGATACAGAGGGGACAGAGGGTCACAGTGGGGTGGTGACCCCATGGTGGGACTCCAAGGGGACACAGAGGGGACCCTATAGGGACATCGATGCAACAGGGGGACACAGTAGGGACCCAGAGGGGACATGGAGGGGGCAGGGGTCACAGTGGGTGCTGCTCCTATGGGAGCAAGGGGACACGGAGGCTACAGCGAGACGCAGCGGGGCGGCGACTCCACGGCGACCCCAAGGGGACACGGAGGGGACCCTACGGCGACGCAGCGGGGCGGCGACCCCAACGACCTCCGCCGTAGCGACCCGGAGGCGACGGCGGGGACCCGGGCGACTCACAGCGCGTGCGCCAGCAGCAGCAGATCCGCGTTGTCGAAGAGCGCGGCGTGCGGCCCCTCGGCCAGCGCCAGGTAGGCGCCCCCCAGCGCCGCCCCCAGCAGCAGCTTCCCGGCGCTGCTCAGCTGCAGGAACGCGGCGGCCGCCAGCAGGCTGAGCACCACGCCGAGCGTCGCGTACTGCGGGCACAGCGCGGGCGACACCGCGCCGCACGGACGCCGCGTCACGGCACCACGGGCGGGGGGCGCCGCGAGTGGGGCGGCAGCGCCTGGGGACGTGGCGCCTCTGGGGACCCCGCGGCAGCACCCATAGGGACGTGGCACCTTTGGGCGCCCTGTGGGCACCATGGGGACGTGGCACCTCTGGGGACCCCACTGCAGAACCTATAGGAACCCAGCCCCTTTGGGGACCCTATGGCAGCACCCATGGGGACGTGGCACCTTTGGGCGCCCTGTGGGCACCATGGGGACGTGGCGCCTTTGGGGACCCCATGGCAGCACCGTGGGGATGTGGCACCTCTGGGCGCCCTGTGGCAGCACCCATGGGGATGTGACCCCTCTGGGGACCCCGTGGGCACCATGGGGACAAGGCTCCTTTGGGGACCCCATGGCAGCACCCATAGGGACATGGCACCTCTGGGCACCCTGTGGGCACCATGGGGACGTGGCGCCTTTGGGGACCCTGTGGGCACCATGGGGACGTGGCACCTTTGGGGACCCCACTGCAGAACCTATAGGAACCCAGCCCCTTTGGGGACCCTATGGCAGCACCCATGGGGACGTGGCACCTCTGGGGACCCCATGGGCACCATGGGGACGAGGCTCCTTTGGGGACCCCATGGCAGCACCCATAGGGACATGGCACCTCTGGGGACCCCACTGCAGAACCTATAGGAACCCAGCCCCTTTGGGGACCCTATGGCAGCACCCATGGGGACACCGCATCTCCACAGAGCCCATGGCAGCACCCACGGGATCCCAGCCGCTCTGGGTCCCCCCCACCCACTGCCAACCCCACTTTTAGGACCCCCCCCATCCCCACTCACCTCAGGGAAGTCGCAGTCCCCCCCCTGCGGGCGGCACAGCCCTGGAGGGGCTCCCAGTGAGATGTTGAGGGCGCGCAGCTCGCAGGGCCCCACGGCGGCAGGGCTGACATTGAGGGCGCGGGCGGCGCAGTCCCGCAGCGGCACCCGACTGCAGGAGAACTGTGGGGTGATGGGGGAAAAGGGGGGGGCAGCGGGGTGAGGGGACGCCCCAGACTCCCCCCCCACCCCCCCCAGGCCCAGATCTCCCCTTTACCCCCATCCCCACCCCGTACCATGTTGATAAAGGCGGTGATGAAGACGAGGACGACGACGAGGACGGCGGTGGCGGTGCTGCGGGTGCGGGAGCGGACGATGGCACGGGACAAACGCTGCAGCACGGGGGGGAACAGCTGGGATGGGGGGGGGGGGGAACTCCGTTAAGGTCCAGCCAACGAACCGCCCCACGGACACACGGCCGCCCCACTGCCCCCCCCAACTCACGGTGATGCACGAATGCACGGCGCAGATGAAGAGGATGGAGGAGAGGAGGAGGAAGGCTCCAACGTAGGCACCGATCATCAGTGGGGAGCTGTGGGGAGGATGGCGAGCGCTATGGGGCAGGCTATGGGGTCCATGAGGGCTCTGAGTGCTATGGGGTGGGGCTGTGAGTACTATGGGGTGGGCTATAGGGCCTATGGGGGCTGTGAGCGCTATGGGGTGGGCTATGGGGTCCATGAGGGCTCTGAGTACTATGGGGTGGGCTATAGGGCCTGTGGGGTGTTGCAGAGAGCTGTGGGGCGGGCTGTGAGCGCTGTGGGGTGGGCTGTTGGGTGTAAGGGGGACTGTGAGAGCTATGGGGTGGGCTATGGGGATCCAGGGGGGTGGCAGGGAGCTGTGGGGTGGGGGCTGAGTGCTATGGGGCGCTATGGGGCGCTATCAGGCGCTATCGGGTGCTATGGGGCACTATGGGGCGCTATGGGGCGCTATGGGGTTCTATGGGGTTCTATGGGGCGCTATGGGGTGCTATGGGGCGCTATGGGGCACTATGGGGCGCTATGGGGTGCTATGGGGCGCTATGGGGCACTATGGGGCGCTATGGGGCACTCACAGGGGGAAGATGATGAGCTGCACACAGCAGATGAAGCAGAAGACGAGCAGAGCGCAGCCCACGTAACCCCCAAAGCGGTTATCGACCTTCTTGGAGTACTGCAAGGGGGGATGAGGTGAGGATGTGGGGGGACAGGGGGGGATGTGGGGGGACGGGGGGACACCAGGAGGTTGGAATGGGAAGGAAAGGGGGGGGCAAAACAGAGGGGACCCCAAAGGACGAAGGGGAGAGAAATAGGGGACCTGAAGGGATGGTGGGGAACAGAGGGACCCCAAGGGATGGAAGGGAATTGGGGGAGCCCACAGGATGGAGGGGGAATAGAGAGGGGAAATAGGGGACCCCAAAGGATGGAGGGAGAACAGGGCACCCAAAGGATGGATTGGGAATAGAGTGGGGAAATAGGGGACCCCAAATGATGGAAGGGAATTGGAGTTCCCAAAGAATGGTGGGGACTTAAGGGATCCCAAAGGATAGTGAGGGAATTGGGGATCCCAAAGGATGGAGGGGGAATAGAGGGGAGAAATAGGAAACCCCAAAGGATGGAGGGGAAAGAGGGGACCCCAAAGGATGGATGGAAAGGAATAGGGAACCCCAAAGGATGGAAGGGAATTGGGGATCCCAAAGGATGGAGGGGAAGTAACAGAGGACCCCTAAAGGATGGAGGGGGAACAGGGGACCCCAAAGGACGGGGGGGGAGAGTGGATGTGG